GACCATAGGTATTCACTTGCCAACTGAAGATTGATACACTGGTGTCAGGAGAGATTACTGTCAAAAACAAGACATTGTTTCTTACTGTAGAAAATTTGAGATACCTGCTGTTTTTAAAACATCACTTTCTATTTTGGCTTCATTCTGTAACTTCACTCACAAAACACACCACTTCATTAATAATGATAAAAACAATATATAGAGTGGCAAACTTCCTGTGATAGCTTTTAGTTGTATTGCCTCTTTTTCTTGTTCAAATTGTATCTGTTCCAAAACAAACCAAATACACAATTATTAGCTCATCAAGTTGTTCATCCAGATCATCAAAAGAAGATATCAAATAGAACTGGCTCCAATACTGAGCCCTGGGGAACACCACTAGTGACCTGGTGCCATATGGATGCAGCCAGAAGTTTGAGTGAAAAAGAAAAAATAAATCAGGTAACATTCCTCAGCAATAGAAAGAATGGTATTACTGTTCAATGAAGACAACTGGCAGAACAAACTGACTGACCAGCCCTATACAGATGACCCCATACACTGCTCTAGCATCCCAGCAAATATTAAATAAAACCTACTTTTCCCCTTAAAGAATGGTGTTCAGAGGGATAAGAAGTATCACGTAACTTAAACACACGGGTTCTTTTTAATAAGCCCAACAAGGTCAGCTAGATGAATATTTAAGACTTTAAGACTGTGGGTATAGAACAGTATTCATTAGAATAACCAAACAGAGACATCAGAACAAACCTTCATTAACACTATCCTCTCTGTCAGCATGGTTGCGAAATTTTTCTACGGTCTGACAGCTGAGTAATTTAGTATTGCTGGTCTGCCCTCTCAAGGGAAAGATTCCACCAGTGAGGTCTAAACTGTACCTTTCATCACAGTATTCCAAACCCTGGGAGGGGGGAAAAAAAAAGATAATTAAAGGTAATTTGCATTAGATCTACTAAGAATGTATATATCTAATAAAACATGCATATCGTATTTTTTTTTTCTAGTGAACTTATTTCTGATAGCAAATAAAAACTACATCTGACATTCAAGAGAATTAAGTGTGAAATTTTAACAGATATTGGCTAAAAAGGCTTTATACATTTTCAAGTCTTAGCATTTCCTTAGCAAAACTTTACTCCGAAGCATGCACAATTCACACTATTTTATTAAAGAACTTTGGAAGTAACAGATACATGCAGGGTAGACAAGAAAAATCAAAACCATCTCTTTGAAAAACTAACATGAAGCCTAAGCAAAGAACCTCATCTGCACTGTAGCATAACTCAACACTAAAATAAATTTTAACAGATCATGTTAAAGATGAACAAGAAGTTCACCATTCCAAAAGACAGTTCCACAAGACAAAGCACTAAAATTCCATAAACCTGGCCAGCACTTATTTTAATGAATAGAAATACCAGCTTTCATTCATATACGAAGAGCCACTCTCACATAAATTCAGTGTGAATGCGAAGGAGAAAGTAATACCAAATAGTTCCTGCCAAAGGTAACTTCCTAACCCAAGCTGCATATTTTAAGTTTTCCACATTGGGGCAAGAATCTAAGTTAAGGAGCTCTAGTGCATGGAAGATAGTAAGCAATGATGTTCCAAGACCAGTTAAACAGGATAGTTTTCAAAGGAGTTGCACTGGTCAGACTCTGATATGAATGTAGAGACTGTACACAAGCCTTGTGTGAACAAAGGTAAGGATATGCTCCATGAACTGATCCGTAAGATACAGCAGCTGCTGAGATGATCTAAAAGAGGTCTTTGAAAGTGTAATTTAAGCCTATCTTTCAGTTTTCTTACTTGAGCAGATTTAAACCAGCCTTGAAGGCAGCAGAGACTCAAGTTTGGCACGTGTTTATAAAAACACAGTGCCACATGCTCCCAAAGTTCCATTCGTGACTTTTATCATGATGTGAAGTGAAAGATGCATGGTTTCATAACCTCAAGTCTGACTCCTGGGACGTACAGCACTGATGTAATCAGACCAGTGTTTGAAGCTCCTGTGACTTCTACTCAGTGAACAAGGAGCAGCAGCAGATTAATTTCTCCTTGTTTACTCAAGCTTGGCCTGACCAATGGGAACAACTCTTAAATGCTGTGTCACTCAAGACCGACAAGAAGCTTGATTCAGTCAGGTAGGCAGAGAGCCATCATGTCATGCTGACCCATCTGTGAGCACAAGAAGTATTCCGACACTGGTGAGCACAGATGCTTTTATGATGCATCCTTTGGGGAAGGATTAAGAATTGGTTTGGGGGGTTTTTTGGCAGGAGATGCTATCAGGTCTCAGCATGAAACTACACAATTAAGTGGTTTATCTGCAAGCCAGCTGAAGAACCTGTCTTTCCTCCTCAGAGGGTGCAGATGTTCAGCTCTCTCCAACAGCCTTCTAAGATTGGTTCCTGTTACAATCTTTCAACAAATGCCTGTGAATGTACTACTGGTTGTATGGTCTGTAGAGGGTTCCAACTCTTACTTTAACTACACCACAGGTTTTCCAGGTCAACAAACACAGTAACATTTTTTACACTTTGTGTGCTTTTGGTTTTTTTTAAGGAGTGTCAACTGGAATTTCGAGGAAATCTATTTTTAAAGACTGATGAAACATTTCAACCCTCTGAGCTATAAACTGACATCTGTCACATCCTGTTCAGGAAAGACAACCAAGACAAATAACTGCCAAATACTTAAAGGTCTCACATTTTAGCATTAAACTGTTCAGATGGAAAAAAAGTTGTAGCCACAAAAGAAATAGAGTCAATTGCCTTTTCCCCAATGCAGCACACAGTAAAAAGTATTGTCTTTGTCACTGCTAAGACTGTAGCTAAAAATAACTTTTTAAAGAGGATAAAACAAAACTGAAATTCAAAAGCGAATCTTGAGAAGATTAAAGAAACTTTCTCCTATCAACCTACCAAAGTGCTTAGAGCACTACAACATGCATGAGTGAGCTGCAATGAAAGCCCTTTAAAAAAAAACAAAACAAACCACAAAAAAACCCAAACAAACAAGGTGTTCTGCTTCTCTAGAGCACTGTATATTTTTGTCATTTAAAAATTGGGCATGAAGATATGGCATGCATATTTAGGCATATTGAACCACTTGAAGGTATTTCTACTTCATCATCATGACAGATGATTTATTTTAAAGAAACACCACCTTCTCCAAACACTTAATCTTTATCTGTTCAAAAAGTAACACTTCCAAATCAGGAAAGCCCTTTCCTATAGACAAAAGGAAAAAAGAACAAAATTTAAACTCACTCAAAAAATTCAGAACTCAAAGTCTCTATAAAAAAAGTCTTTGAACCACAGTCCAAGGTTTACCTCAATTTCATTTTGTACTCCTAAGAAAATATAAGAGGAAGTGTCAAACAGGAGGAAACAATTAAGAATTCTTTAATCTTAAGATTACTTTCCTATCAAAAAGATCTTGGTAGGGTTTCATGCATACTGCTGAACAGATTTAAACATTATACAGGTACCTCCTGTCTGTTAGATTATCTGAGACCTAATGATTACTCTTCTATATTTTTTCTATTCTATACCACGGCATCTCTGGAACCAGCTCTAAAAAATTATGGAGACCCTTCTGACCAAATCATGCCACTGTACATTGCATGTACATCTTCTGCTGGCTTTAAAAGCAGATTTCAGAGACAACCCACCCAAAACTTTAAAGAACAGTCATTTTTACAGCTACTGAGTTTCAGAATCAACACTGAAGGAACATTGTTGGTATTTTTGTAGGTGTATTTGAAGTCAGGCTGACAGAGTTTAGAAGAAAAACAGGATTATAAAAGAGAGATCAGAAATTCATAAAGAGATATATATGACCATATTGTAAGAGGGAGACAGAAGCTTCCTCATATCTACAGTTTGGTAACACAAAGCTATTCAAAGCCTTGTCTTCTGTTCCTACGTGCCATTAACATGATGTTTAAATTAAGAGTAATTTCATTTGTAACAGCCATTTCCTCTTGAGGACTCATGCATAAGGGCTCTTTGCAGATGAATCTAGCTGGAACACATGACATTAAAGTATAAAATTATATGGCTGCAGCATGGACAGATTGTGTCTGACCGATCTGGTCATCTTCTACGATGGAGTAACTGAAACACTTGAAAAGGGAAAAGTGACCAATGTCATCTACCTAGACTTCTAAAAGGTCTTTGACACAATTCCTCATGACATCACCATCTCTAAATCGAAGACAGGCAGATTTGAAAGGTGGACTACTCAGTGGATAAGGAATTGGTTGGAAAGACCAAGCCAGCGAGTTGTGGGAAACAGCTCTATCTCCAGGCATAGGCTGATGTTGAGCAGTGTGCCTCAGAAACATGTATGGGGACCAGTGCTCTTCAATATCTTCATCAATGACACAAATAAGTGAGATCAAGTGCACCTTAACCACGTTTGCAGATGACACAAGGCTGAAAGATAAAGGTGACAAAACAAAAGGCTGGGATGTCACCCAGAGGGATGTGGAGAAGCCTGAGAGGTGGACCAATGGGAATCTCATGACATGAAGGTCAGCAAGTCCAAGCACAGGGTGCTACACCTGGAATGGGGCAATCCTAGACATGACTAGAGACTGGGAGAAATGACTGAGAGCAGCCCTGCCAAGGACATGGGGGTTCTGGTGGACAAAAAGCAATACGCACTCACAGCCCAGAAGTCCAACCTCATCCCAGTGCAGCCTTTCAGCATGTAAAGGGAGCTCATAAAAAAGAGGGAGATTTACATTTTACAATGGCAGATAGTGATAGGACAAAGGAGAAGGGGTTTTCAACTAAAATGAGATTTAGATTAGATACTAGGAAAAAAATTTTTACTGTGAGAGTGGTGAGGATCTGGAGGACAGGCTGCCCAGAGATGCTAAAGATGCCCCATCCCTGGAAGTGTTCAAGGCTAGGGTGGAGAGGGCCCTCAGCAAACTGATCTAGTGGGTGCCATCCATACCTATGGCAGGGGATTGCAATTAGATGATATTTAAGGTCTTCCAAACAAAACCATTCTATGATTCTGTGACTTGTTTTGAAAAGTATGATGGACAAAAGAAAGCCTAAAAAGACTCATCAAAAGACTTTTTTCTTATGTCTCACTCATCTTTCTTGGTCAACTTAACTGATCCTTACTTAAGACAAAATTACTATTTTCATCTTCTCACATATAGGCCTGTCTTACCTCGTACATGACTTGTCCTGATGCCAGGCGTTTCCTGTCACCAAATGCTAACTGCAACAGATGTAAACTTACAACATCACCTTCACTGAAAAAGGTATAGATGAGGAAATTTGATTACAAAGCTGCATTACAATCCTCATTATCATTTTATTAGATCTAGGCTGAAACTTACTTAAGAGCATGCTCTTCCTGAAAAGAAAAACACTGCTTCCCAAAACATGATAATTGGTCACATTTAGCAACTAAAACAGAAAGGAGGAAATTTTGACACGAACAGCTTCAGGGGCAAATACTGACTGTACCATTGGAAAGCTTTAATATGCAACATGGAGAAAAACTTCCTGAATTTCTAGAAATAGCTCACAACAGTAAAGCGTTCTCCATGAAAACTGTTTTTAAGTCAAACTTAAGAAAACTGCCACTCTACGAACAGCTGGGCTGATTAAGCAGCTTGCTGATAATGTTTACCGTTCTGCATCTGCAGCCTAAACCACTTGAAATGGTACTGAATATCACGGTGGGAATACCAAACAAATCTTGAAGCAGTCATCAAGAAACAAGGGAAAGCATTGACAACTGCAAGCACAAAAATATAGCCACTGTTTCCTTTCCCTTCTTTCATAAGGTAGGAAAGAGTCAACCCCTTCTGGCAAGTGTAAAATCCTGAAAAAAAATGCACTGTAAGCTTAAGAGCTTAACACTTTTCATCTCTTGTACAATTAAATAAACAAAATAAATACATAGATATCAACCAAATGTGAATATTTAAAAAAAGAAACCAGTGACAGGATGGCAAGATTTTACTCACCTTTGTTGTGTAGACTGAACAGCCCACAAATAGCAACAATTGCGGGGATCATTCTCAGGCTCTTGAAAAGTAACTGCATAGACAGGAATCCTTCCTCCTTCAAGCTGGGAGTGATGCCTACAGGTTTAAAAGAAAAATATAGAAAAAAAGGAGAGCCTGCTGGCTCTGGCTGTTTGTAGAAGGGTAGAAGCACCTTCTGGGAAAAAAAGCAGCTTGCATGCTTATCCTCGAAGTAGCGATGTTAATAGCTTCATCTAATACAACTGATGACTGACAAGCCAATACTTCTTAAGTATTTGTCTTCCCAACTTCTGAACTTGAGTTGCACCTTCCCAATCTTTTCTTGACATCTAATTATGCACCCACTGTCTATTTATGCATCCATAACACATGTAGTTTCTGGTGAAGCACTGTAGAGTTCCTTAAGTAACACCTATCTGAATGTGGTCATATGTTTCACGAGGCAGATTTCAAATCACCTCTAAATTTCACTATTGCTTATAAATTTATGTATCCCTTGCTCTGATCACCAAGTCTTCCACATAAACTTTCATTCACACATGCATCCTTATCTGGGAATGAGTCAGCCACCTATTTCCATCAAGGCTGAAATGTAGGGAAGAATATGTTGGCAGGCACAGATTAGCTACTGAATTATCATGTCTCACTAGATCCATCATGGACACTTTAAAGAGTATTATCACCAAAATCATATTATTCACACAGTGAAGCCTTCCAATGGATTCCATAATTGCAGTAACTGGTTCTGAACCTTTCTAAAATCTTTCAAGGAAACACACACATTGCCTGGGTTCACAAAATACTACTGGACAGAATAAACTGACTTATAAAAATCAGCTCTACCACATCCCTACTGCGTGACTTCCTGTAGCAAAATACTGAGAGCTCTGTACCTCCAAGTGCAACCAAGTGGAAGTGACTACTTACTCCCTCTTCAAAGTTTTCATATTCCATAGTGACAGGTAGCCATCAGAAAAACCCACAACGAGCTGGTTGCTTCTGCTTATGTAGCACAGGGTTGATACTGCTGTTCCTGAAGGACTTCGTAATTGAAAACAGAGATGCCTCCCTTCCCTCATCACAGCTTCTCTTCTTTGTGGAACTTCAGCAGGAATTCTAGTGACAACTTCTAGATCTACACACAAAAAAAGCAGGCAAGAAATTAATGTATTATGCCACTTCAGTTCCATTTTAAATTGATGTGATTATACAGCATGTATAATCTAATTCTACTGTGCCAGGCAAAACACCCATTTCTGCAACACCTTCTTTGCTATTTCTGTTTCTGCACCCATTCAGAGAACAAAAGGATTCCCCAATGGGACAGGTATTCTCACTCCTATTTCAAAACAGGGTACAACTGTAACCACTGTAGTTAAATTCCTTTATTGGGCTTCGTGATGAAGCTACTTGAAGGGACACAAACTCCTGAAGCCACTCTTACAACACCCACAACAGTGTATGCAACCTGAAAATACAAATTGCAGTATTCATTCACCCAAATGCAGGACTTTTGATAAGCCAGATTTATTTTAAAACACAAGCCTAAAACTTGCCCCAAGTCACTAATGGAAACAGGAGATCACTCCCAAGAATTACGGTACCTCTGACACAACTTCCTATCACACAGCTGCTCTGACTCAAATTGAAAAATTCCTTCATCCCGCACTAAGAATCACAGGGACAAAGAGACATTGGCAGTTAAGACACCTTCTTAACATCAGGAGGAGTACTAAGCCACTCCCATTTTTGGATCAGTTCAGGACCATACGATGTCATCTGCAATCAGCAACGTCAGAAATGTCAGTGGCCCGTCAGCACACTGGGGTCCTCGCTGGGATACAAGACGGTTTTTGGAAAGAAATACATTCCCTTACTTCTAAATTTGAGTTTAAAAACTGCAGCTTACCCGATGCTTCTACTTCATTCTGACTGCAAGACAAATCATCCAAACAAAGGTCAACCAGAAGGACGTGGCCAACATCTGTGGCCACTGCTGCCACTCCAAAGAGCCATCGCAGACTCTGATGCAGGTGCCGGGTGCTCACGCTGGCTCCGCCGTCATTGCTGATGGGTTCGATGGCAGTCACCTGCAGGGAGCTGCAGGTTAACATCACAGCTCTTTGACAGGCTCAAGAGTAATCCTCAGAAGGGAAACCAGCATTAGCACGTCAGAAACAGGAAAGGAAATACAGGGTAAGATTCCCATGGGCATGAAACATTCCTACAAAGGGCTGGAGGGAGACGCTGGCTTACTAAAATCTACACTGGTCCTCGCTTTGACTGATAATATCCAACAAAAATTTTAAATGCACACCACCACTGTTACACATGGAAAAGTAAACTGTAAAAGGCAGCCTAAAGCAACAGCAAGAGACCAAACAAGAACTTGCTCAGCCTGAGGCAGGAGCTCTCCCTGCTCCCTGACAGGCCAAGCAGTCCCCGCGATCTCAGGCCCAGGTGAAGACAGACCCTTCAGCACCCACAGCACACCCAGGACAAGACTGCCTGCTCTAGCAGAGACACAAGCACACCACGGCTCCTGCACTGAAGCTGGATAACACAAGAACAGGGGCGATCTTCTGGCCTCTTACAAATGCAGCACCATGAAAACAGACAGCTTTACATCAACAACAAAAGTTTGTCTGAAAACAAAGCAAAGAAGCGAGTGTCACAAGGCACTCCATCTTTTTATGTAAGTTATTTACCCCTAGAAGTGGGGGAAATATCCAAACTCATAGACCTCCTGAAGTTTTCTCCTCTCCTGTATCAAGCACTTGCTTATGATTGCACTGCTTGGCCACCTGCTATACAATCCACCTTTTGCCTTGGTCACAAGAACTCCAAGCTTAGAAGTATTTATAGTTATTTGGGAAACTGGATTATCTTTCAGAATTCCTATGATTCAAATTAAATTTTTAATCTTCTCTATTGCTCAGAAGACTAATAAAAGTATTTTGATTACTCAGATTCTTGCATTCCAAGTGTTGGTGACTGTGACGAGGAAGTACAGAAGATATCTTGCTCTGCAATTAGCCAAGGCTCAAGTGCTGCTTCTAACTTCTTTTCACGGTATGTTTTTCATTGAACAACTGGCTCCAAATGAATCTTTACTAGTCTTCCAAAAATATTGCCTGGTTACTTCAATTTTCCATGTAGAAGCTCCTGAAATGACATGTTTTTCCACTATGCTATGCACTGCTTTTTCCTATTTTCCCACTGCTTTGCCAACTCATTCTGGGAAAGAACAAAGAAAACTTTTCTCAGCTCACTGAATCTGAATGCTGCCCTCCTGCCTCATACAAACCAGGAAAATTTGGGAAAATACCAGGCAACAGTTCTGAAACAAGCAACTGTTTTAAACCAATTCACTGTAATTCAGGTTTTTTTAATTCAGAATCCAATTCAAACCGTACTCATAAACACTTCAAGTCTCCTGCTGCATTTCACACATATATCAAGAGGGCATTGAGAGACAATCACAGACATATGCAAGGACACTATGCCAAAATTATTTCTAAGCTCCCGAGTTTGGGTTTTTTCACTAATTTCTTTATTCTCTGAATGACTCAACATCCACTGTTACACTAAAAAGCAGTCACACAGTCACAATAAACACCCTGTATTAATACACTAGCAACTTGACACCTTGGAGCAGAGCTGCTCCAAGTTAAACTGTACAACTTAGCTGTCCACAGAAGTTATACCCATTGAGAAAATAGTCCTGAAAACACTGTGCTCATTAAAGAATAAAGAGTAATGACAAAACTGCAGAAAGTGATGTTAAGAAAAGATCCACATTTTATCTTTAAAAATAATCAATCTGAAAATCAGAGTAACATTAATGCAGATCAACCCCCCCTAAACTATACATTACATGATAAGCAAATAAGTTTCCTAAAGAATTCAAAACATGGACAGCAGCCAAGTGCAAGTTTTATCTACGTGTTTTTGCTTACCCTTACTCCCACTCACAGCCTGAAAGTTAACAGTCCAATTAGCAATACCTGTGTCCTGACTATGCTGACTTAAGTAAAGCAACACCAAAGACATAGAAAGCAAAACGAAAGCAACAGACCAAACATACTTGTAATCAAGAGCTTTCAGGACCTAAGAGCAAAACTTTCAGAGCAGCTTTGGCTTTATTTCAAAATTCCTACCCTTCATCCCACAATAGCCAACTCTTTCCTGCAGGGCTTCATCATCTTTGCTCCTGAACCAGTTTTTGTGGTATAGGACAACTCTCTAATGCGTCTGATTGTTGGAACTAGCTTCTATTTCAAAACACTTCCGCAACTACAGATTCGACATGAAACATAATCCTTACTTCTTAACCTTAGCTTTTCCAAGCTTACTTAGATAGAAGAAATAAAATGTAACACACCAACAGCTCTTACCAAAACATAATTCACTTATTGATTATATGCTCATGCTAGCACAAAGCCTGACTTTCCATCTACAACTCGAGCAGATAGCAAAACAACACACTGGAACACTGATTCAGACTCGTATCTTTAGAACTTATCACAACACAAATGCTTAATACTACTACTAACAACACTTCCACCAGTACTCTAGCAAGTCAAACCAAATAAAGGGAAAGTTGACATAAGCAAGTATTTATTTGTTGCACATTCTAAGACAATAAAAACACAGTCAATCTTGATGTTCTGCTAACTTAATGTGATTCTTGTTTCCATTACATAAACGAGACACAAGGACACTAAATCATTTGAGTTCAAGGGTTACAGAAGGCAGAAAAAATTATCGACATTACACCACTGTATCCCATCTACACAAACTATATTCAACAAGGAAAGGACTGCAGACTGAAAGTAAATCTGCCAACAATCTGACAGATAACCTACTAAAATCTTTTTTCCAATTCTAAGTTAACAGAAAAATCTGTTCTGTTCCCAAGTCACCTGCTTCATAGTCTGAGATTGATTGGGAACGTGTCAAAATCATTAACAGCACAACGATGAGAGTCTGAGATACTTTAAGGTCAGTATTTCTGACAGAAATTAGCCATTTAGAAAAAGTATAATAGAGACACCTTAAGTAGTTTTCTTTTTTGCTCTGAAAAAATAAAAGGTTTTCAATGCCATTTTTTGTTCAAAGTGAAGAATTATACCACTATGTGGTCTACAATATTTTTTTTACTTTCAGTAAACTCAAAATATAATGCTACTGCTAAGTCCAAGATTTTACATCAAGGCTCTCTTGACTGGATAATCTGAACTGACAATATGTTAATACAATATAAAAAGGGTAATTCGTACAAAGAGAGGCACAAGAACTTTTCTTGAAACAGGAATATGGAGCACCAAACACCCCCAAATCTTCATTTCCCCAAAAAGATACATACCCTTCCTGGAAGAACAACTGCTTTAACCACTCTTGAGGTCCCAAGATCGTACAGACAGAGAACACTTCCCTCTGCCTCCTCCAACCCAACCAGGAGTCCAGTCCTCTTCTGCCAAGAGAACTCCTTCACCACACGAACAGTGGGAGGCTGCTCGTTCACTCCGCTGAAGCGATAGGCAGAGAGCCGCTCTCCTGTCACCGAGTTCACCACCTCCAGCTGGGGGCCACACGCCAGCCACGCCAGGCCACTTCTGCCTGCGAGGGGAAAGAAACAGCACTGAGCACATCCCCAGCACAAGAACTCAAACAGCAGCAATGCAACTGGCACTGTGCCTTTCCCTCAAATGCACCAAAGGGATGGAGGAAGGCAAACCTACCCACATCTGGACAACTGCTTTACATCACCCATTGACATCCTCAACCAATACATCTGAAAATTAATAACCCCATTCTTTTGCATTTGTACTTGTCATTCCTGCACTCAGGAACGTTGACTGATTGGCAAAAAGGTTACGATAGACTGAGCTCTAGCCTGTACACCAGACTTGGCTTGCTTTTGCTAGAAAACACCTGAATACGTGCAGGAATACAAGCCTCAGAGCATACTTCAAACACTGACCATCTAAACCAATTCATTTCCTGTTAAGAATTTTGCTTGACACATGGCTACTCTGGGCAGAGATTTGGACAGGAAATTATCTTAAAATGGGCACTGCATGCATAAATTTCAATTGTGACACCTGCTGATCCCAGAAAGAATTTAACAAGTGTTGTTTCACTGAAGAATTTAACACTCGTTCCTTCAAGCTCAAAGGAAGGATTAGCTCCATTTCTGCACGTAAAGTCAGGTAGATAAGATTCTAGCAAGTCTTAACAGAAGCCCAGACATGCAGACAGGTGTCCAGCTCTACCTGCAGATCACCTAGAAAGTCAACTGCCTAATCTGCTTAGCTGCTGTCAGCAACTCTCACTGAGTCCTCATCTGCATCCTATTAAATACCTTGGAAATATATGGGCAGTGCTTAACAGAGCTGTCCTCTTTCCCTTTTTTATTTAGACTAGGGAAGAAAAAGGAGCATATTGTGTCTCTGTAGCTATTCCTGCATGGGATGTTATGATGGACATAGAGCTTGAGCTGGTAAAAAGAAATATATACTGAAACAACACTATTTCTTCTTTAAAAATTGCTTTCTATTTCATTCAAAACTGGATGGAGCATGGTCAGCTATATTATTTAAACAGCACAGGACTGGAGCAGGCTGTTGCACTTCCAATACTTAGCATTTCTGATTATTAAATTAACCTGTTAGCACTATCAGAAGCTGATACATTTTACCTAATAGAACCAACCTGATGATATGACCCTGTGCTTCAGGCGATAACAACTTTACACCAAATCCAAATTTAAAGGAAAATGCTCACCTCCAGAAAACTTTCCACACAACACAGAGTCTAGGGTGATCTCATCTTCCCCAAGTGCCTCAACAGTCACCTCTGGAAACTGCAGCAGACTGCTCGTTACCTGAGCTGTTAGGTCTCGCATTCTTCACTGTAAATAAAAACAAAAGGCAAAAAGACTCATGTCAGCCATAAAAATCTTTGAGACTGATGCAAGCTTCTTCAGTATGTGGTGGCCAATCTCCCATACATCATTTGTAGCTTTCTTTTTTGCTTAAAAGAAATGGCACCTGGGACAGTTCTTCATCTCACAGCAGAGCAAAAGGAGAATCTTGAGATTTTCTGATGCCAACAAGATCCCCAACAAAAAGTGACACAGATGGATGGACAAGATAAATAACAGGGAAGAGAAAAACACACCAAGTTCAAGATTATTCATACAAGTACGCAAGATGTGATCTCAAAAAAATCATATTTTAAAAAGCTTCTCAGTAGGAGGTATAACTCTGTCCTTTCCCTTGATTTAATACATTATTTGCTCTAAGTTGTCTTCTAGTAGATGTCACAGATCAGCCGTGTCTTGTTTCTTTTTTGCATGCTTATTTTTGACATTCAGGAATACAAAGTTCTTGACAAATTCAACCTCAAATTATTCCAGAAAACATACTGTTAATACTTTCAAGCAATTCTGACTTTCACAGCTCATCAATTAGAAGTATTTTTCCACACACTTAAAAGGAGAATGTAACACAGCACTTCAAAATGCAGGTTTTTTTCTCTGCAGAAATCCTTATATTTCTAATTCCAATCCCTTCCTTCCTACTGCTTTTTTAATCTCATCCCTGCAGTATTAGAGAAAAAAAATTTCTTAACTCTCAGGCAGTTTCATGCTCATACAGGTGCTCCACAAGACTTCACATTTCAGGTTTTTTTGGTTGTTTTTTTGGTGAAAAAAATTGAAGAGCTGGACTTATTTAGAGGATTAAACACATGGCTAAATATGAGATAATCCATATGCATGGAAATACAAATTACTTTAAGTATCTATGTTTTGCAAATCATCTGCCTTATAGAAAAGGCCTCTGACAGACAAGATAAATTCAATTGTCTTGCTCAAACAGAACTGCTTTCTTCATGAAATCTCAAGATATTATACACTAGGTCACTAGTGCAGGGTTGTGTTCCTTTATCTGATGCCAGCAGGACAACAATGAGCGCACAAAGCACAGGAAGGCTAAGTCAGGGTCCTGCACTAAGCACAAGTCAACATTTTGACCAAAATGTTGCTGATGGCAAAGCCAGTACTGCAGCCTGCCAGCCTGACCACGCTGCCAGCATTTACTACAAGCACAGATCAGGTTCCAAGTGGGACAACTTATTTGCAGTAGTTGTGCTGAGCTTCTCTTTTGGTACCTGACATCAGTTTCAAGTGACAACTTCTGCACTGTATCCAGGGGCTTCAGAGAGTAAAAGGCCCCACAATTTGACCAGCATTCTTGCTTAATTTAATTGCAATTTAGTGGATACATTTTAGGAGGAACACTTAACACCAAATACTAATTCAGACACACCTGATTGATGAATAGCATCTTTGATATGTTCCAGTGTGTGCTTGTGCTCCTGTAACTTGGCACCACTGGAATGTTCCTGGCTCCATCTGCTTTCCACCCTCCTTTCAGGTATTTATGTGCATTGATGAGAATCCCTGAGCCTTCTCTTCTCCAGGCTGAACAGACCCAGTCTCCCAGCCTTTTCTCAGAGAAGAGCAGCTCCAATCTCCTCTAACCAACCATCTTTGTGGCACGTCGCTGCACTCTCTCCAGTACCTCCATCTCTCATCTTGAGAGTCTGGTGAGCCTGGACCTGACACAGCATTCCAGCTGCTGTACGAGGGGAAGGATCACCTCACTTCACCTGCTAGCAAAGGTTCTTCCTCATGCAGCCCAGGCAGGATGCCATCAGCCTTCTTTGCTGCAGGGGCACAGTGATGGCTCATGCCGACTTTTCTGTCAAGCTGCTTTCCAGCTGGGCAGGCCTCTGCACACACTGGTGCCTGGGGTGGCTCCTCCTCAGTGCAGGACTTGGCACTTCCCCTTATTAAACTACGCAAAGTTTCTGTCAGTCCATTTCTCCAGCCTGACAAAGCACTGACTGACAACATATATTAAGGAATTTTAGAAAAGAGCACAAAATTCGAATTACTGTAGTGAATTAAAACCGGTATTTTTTTGTAAATAAGCATGGAGATGTCTGTGTGGTAAGTATATGATCATTAATATCATACACCACAATAATAGCAAGACAGTTTTAAGAAAAGAGTGAACAAATATATTGCAGTAGGGCAGGTAAGAGCATGCAAGGAAACTTCTCAGCTGCATGCCCTCCATGAGTCACCCTGACCGACCCTGCCTGGGACACTACCTACCTGCTGGGCCAAGAGCACAGAACTTGTGTGGCCAAACTGGAAATCAAATGTAAGCATCCTCTACTGGGAAGATTTGAGTTTAAAAACGTGCTTATCAGTCCACAGACACCAGTAGGAACCATCAAGTAAGTAGAATTCCAAGAACTGAACCATTTTTGTAGAAAATGAAAATACTAGAGCATCAGGCATGTTCAAGTTTCCTCCAGAAAGGCAATGACCATTTTAAACACCTATTTTAATTTTTTTTAGAAATCAGGCATGGAATAAGGTTGATAAACTTTATAACAAAGTATGAACAATACATAGCGACCTCTCTATAAGGATGTTTTCCTTGCATCATTTTGCTAATTTAAAACAAGAATTGCTAGGAAGTCAAAACAGAGGGAAAATACTTAGATCTACATTAAAGGCATGAAGCCTCTCCTTTAAGAGATCTATCCAACAGCAACTGCACTTCTGCTCTCTTTGAAACAGTAACTACAATCACATTCTTATTTCTGCTTGTTAGAAATCAGATTAGGGTAAAATGTCACATGCTTACTCCATTTTCAGGAATAAACCAGAATTCAACCTCCCAGCTGTATCCTATAGCAATGCAGTGTGTGCAAGTTGTCAAAATGACCATTCTTCTTCACCCTAGGAACTTAAACTTTTAAACACCATGAACTATTTCCAAAGACAGAAATGTCATGGATTTTTGGATTAAAAAGCTTGGGAGGGAGGAGAGGGAAGGAGGGAAAAGAAAGAGACATTTCATGTTCAAGAAGAATTACATACAGCCAAGTCAGAGTTCTGAGATGTCAGTTTTGACTGATGGTATTACATAAAAATCACTTAAAAAGGCCAACAACGTAATGGGCTCACTGAAGAAAAAGCCAAAAATATGGTCAGTCACAGCTGAAGACTAGATTTCACAGGACATGCTGACTTCCCTGACATCAAAAGAAGGACCTTGCAGCCATCTCTCATCTCCGTATTTGTTCCTTTGTTCTACTACTCCATTTTGGAAGACATTTCCAGCATACCACAGTGGTATGCCAAACCACCACTGGCCCTTCCCAGCACAAATTCCAGAATCATATCGAAGAGAAAGACCTGCCAGAATCACAAGCAGTCACCTCTTCTAAACGCATTGCTGAAGCCATCACCTAAAGGAGGCTGCCCAGACAGATTTGGAACATTTAATTCTCCAACAGGCTTCTACAACCAGCAACCTGACAAGAACTGCAGAAACACCTGCAACCCATACAACAGGGTGACTCTCTCTTGCCAGTTTAAGGATTCTGTTCTCTCCACCACACCAGTAAAACAGCATCACACCAGGAAAGGCCTGTCACCACTGTTTATCCAAAACTGTATCTGACACCATACTAGGCAGAAGACGTAAAATTAATAGAAGCTTGATTAAGCTTGAAAAAGCTAATCCCAGGCAAATCGATGCAGGAAGGAGAGCTGAGGCAGCACGTGAATGAGGAGCTGTCCTACCCAGGATCCAGAGCTGAGTGTCCAAACACATGGGGCAGCTGCCAGTCAAGGCTGACACAACCAGCCAGACCAACGGGCCCTGCAAAGGCACCTGCATGGCCACGCTCAGCCCTACATCCCAAACGGGATGCAGCTATCCCGACACAATCACGTCCCTCAATTTTCTCCAATTTCCCCAGACACGATCAGGAAGTAATCACTGGACCTGAAAGATTGACACCAACCATTCTTTGGTAGAAGCTCCAGACCTGGACTCGCAGTTTATTAAGACACCGAGCACTTTTGTTTAAGCCAGCAGCAACTTTGCTTCGCGATGTTTTGCTTCGTGCAAAGACCCAGAGACGGCCACAAATCGCACTGGATTCCTCTAAAGCTGGGGCCTCCCCACTGCACCCATCCCTCATCCCGCAATCGCCGCTCTACGCACGGAGCGCATTTCCCGCCTCCTCATGGAATACAACCCCGAAGCACGGCGGGGGAGGGGGAGGCGGAATTACAAAAAAGTAAAGAAAAACCTTCCAAAAACACGACCGAAGGGGCGAGAACAGAGGGCGTGCGCGGGTGGCCGGGCAGGAGGGAAAGCTCCTGGCTGCAGCAGCCGCATCTCCCACGCCCCCCAGCCTGACGGAGCCTCCCGGCTGCGGAGCCTCCCATGTGCGCTGCCCAGGCCGCGCCGCCCGGGCCTCTCCCGCCGCCGGGGGCCGGGGCACGTGTGGCGGACACGGCGCCGCAGCCGGGGGGTCACTTACATAAGGGACGGGCAGCCGGGCCCGCCCGAGGCCCCCGCGGGCCCGCGCTGCGCCAGCGGCGGTGCCGGCCTACGCGGTTCGGGAGCGCCCGGTACCCGCTGGTACAGGGGCAAAGGAAGAAAGGGAGGAACGAAGGTAGATGGGCGGGCGAGGGTCGCCGTTGCCGCCACCTCGGCCGCCTCCTCCTGTCCGCGCCGCTGCCCCCAGCCCAGCCGACCCCGCGCTCCCGGTACGTGCCGGTGCCGGTGGCATCTCCCTCCCGCAGCGGCGACAACGGCACGGCCCAGCCCGGCCCAGCCCGGCCCAGCCTGGCCCCGCGCGCCCGCGCACCCACCTCGCTCGCTCACCCGCCGCGCGGGGGGCGGGACGGGATGGGGGGGCGGGTGGAGTTCTCGCGAGACCCGCAGCGAACCTCCGCGGGAATTTTCAAATGCGCGGGACACGGCCCCGGGCGCTGGCGGTGGCGGCCTTCGGACTACGGATCCCGGCATGCCGCGCGGCAGTCGCTTCCGCTCCCGCCCCCTCCCCCGCGCGCTCTCTCCCTCTCTCTCTCTCTCT